TTATTGATAAATAAATATAAAATAAAAAAGGAAACCATTCAAGTTTTCTTCTCTTTATTCATTAAAAATGAACAACTTTTGTTACATATTCGTTATCATCATCATATTAAATAGTCTTATATTCATATGTTACTTTCCATGACGGTTGTTGTTGATTTTGATATGTATAATAATAACTCGGCCATTGTGGATTTGATGATACTGTCCAAGTTGGCGTGTAAGCAACATTACCTGCTTGTTGAACTAATTGAAATGTATGATTTGGATGCGTTATATGTGAACGTGCTATACACTAATCACATAGATCATATGTATTCATTCCTCTACATTGCTGACATGTATACCGAGTAATACCATTAGCTCGGCCACAGTTATCACAATACCATGGAGCTGCTATCATAATTTGAATGATTCTAAAACTTGAATGAAAATAATATAAATGAATGAATTATTTTCTTTTGACAAAACATACATAGTCTAGTATTTATATACTGATATAAGCAAAATGTGAATACGTGAAATCAGATAATGGATGTGTCATTTTGGCGACTGAGGAAGTGACCCATTCTTGAGTCAAAATCAATCAATCATGACTTAATATAAAAGATAGATATTATATGTATACCAGTCAATACAGAAAAAAGTTTCGTCATAATTATATTGAATGATGAAATACCAGGTTATTTCCAAGAAAAAATAGGTATGTATTAATTTCTTTGAAAATTATTTGATCAGCATATGGCGCAAAAATATACAGATAATATTTACTTTCATTTATCAGCAGTTGAATACGAATTTCATTTCAAAATTTTCTTTTAGTACTTAACAAGCAGAAGACACAGGAAAAATAAGAAAAATTCTATCCTTAAAATATGATTTCATTTCCTATTGAAAAATATTTTTAACATGACTAAAATATTTTAAAATAATTTCAATATATCAACACAATTGTATGAAATATATTTTATTTTTAATAAATTATTATTCTTGATTTTGATACATAGATTCGATTGATGAAAAGATCTTCTAGATAGCATGGAAATATTGCCATAGTTTTTATTTATTTACAATATAAAATAACTCTAGTTTAAAAACAAAAAAGTAAATAAATTTCTTGTATAAGAAAAAGAATGGTTTAGTGTTGATTTGATGACTCATATAGTTGAATAACATGCTGTTTCAATGCGCACATTATGATAAGATGTCGCGAATGGTAACAAAAACAATTTTTTTAAAGAGTGAAAAAAGGAAGTAAATGAAGATTTTTCATGAGTTCAGTTGATAAAATATATAACACATGTCAAAGTGTATAAATGTTAATCGAAGTTCTAATTTAACTAGAAGAATTTAGTAGATTTATGTGTAATATTTATCTTTTCTCCATTTTAGATCTTTTGATTTAATTCATATAAAAGTATCGATGTCAAATGTATCTCTACTTGATTGCCCAATAGAAATTCTTCATCATATTTTTGATTATCTTGATACACAAACAATTTTTCGTTCATTACGATGCGTTTGTAATCAACTCTATGCAACTGTTAAGACTTATAATCGTTTTCAACTTAATCTTACTTTAACTTCACAATTGCATTTTGATTTTATTTTACATTTTTTTTCGTCCTGAAAATATTATATCATTAGTTTATTCTGCTGATTGTAGTAAACAATCGAATAAAATCCATTTTCTTTTAACAAATTTTGATATTCGACAATGTACTCGACTTAATTCATTAACACTGTTAGATATTGATAATATTAAATTAGATCAATTTTTATCATATATTACAGTTTTACCTTTAATATCACTTTCAATTCAATTTTATCATGCATCTCATCGTGTACCAACTCCTTCTCTTTCAAAAGCTATCATGAAATGGAATCTTCAACAATTACATCTAATAAATGAAAGTTATATTACAACAATTTTATCATGGCCAATTCCATGTCCATTGAATCATTTAACAATAGACACTTGTACATATACAGAATTTATGTATATTCTTGGACATTCTCCCTTTTTACGAACATTTACTATGAAAAACTGTATCGGTATGAATAGTGCACATTCTATTGATGTATCTTATCCACAATTGACTTCATTAATAATCAATTTCTGTTATTTATCATTCAAAAACCTTAATTTGCTTCTTTCATATACACCATCAATTACTTATCTGAAATTAATCATTTATGGAGCGGAAATGGACTCTTTGTTTGATGGTTCACAATGGGAAGAATTTATTCAAACAAAACTTCCATTTTTAAATAAGTTTCATTTTTGTTTTCGACATACAATTCAGAAAAATTATGACAAATATATTAGTATCGATTCGATTATAAATCAATATCGAACACCATTTTGGTTGGAAAAAAAAAGTTGGTTTGTTACTTGTGATTGTGTCATGCGATCATCATTATCTGAAATAATACTTTATACAATACCAGTACCTATTCAAGATTCTAAAATCTTTATAAGATGTAAAGCACTGTCGATGAATAATATTTGTTATTTGACTGAACATGCTTTGGAGGAAAATGGCATTGCTGTGTCAGAAGAAAAGGTATTTATAATTTTTTTTCAACATTGAATAAGGACTCTATATATTTATTTAAATAGACACTCATCGAATTGAATCTTGAAAATAGTAATAGAATATCACTAGATATTTTTTATTTGGCTTACGCATTAAAATATAACACCGTAATCTATATATCATTTTTATATCTCTTCTATTTTTGTCTCCTTCTTCTCATATAGACAGTTGTTACATTGAATCTGAATAGAAACCAAATTGGATCAAAAGGAATACAACATCTGATTAATGCACTACAAGATAATACGGTAGTTTTAATTATTATATTCTGTTAATATTTTGTTTTTATAAAGACTCTTAGTACATTGTACATTGGCGAAAATCAAATTGGAATTGAAGGAGCACAATATCTCGCCAATATATTACAAAACAATACTGTAATATTTATTATCACTAATCGTGACTGTATATTAAGCTTTGAATCGTTTTCTCCAGACCCTCACTACATTAAGTGTTGCCAGAAATCAAATTGAACATGAAGGTATACGACATTTGACCAGTACATTACGAAACAATGCAGTAATTTCTGTCTTTTATAATATTTCTCATATTTTTTATTTTCGTATTTTCTCTAATAGACTCTTACAACATTAAGTATTGGTGAAAATCAAATTGGAGACGAGGGAATGCGGCACGTAGGTGATCTATTATATAACAATACAGTAAACTTCATTCTCTCTTAATTTTATATATGTTTCACGATAATACTTTTATAGACACTACACACTCTCAATTGTCAAGAGAACTGTATTGGGGATGATGGATTACAATATTTATGCAATATATTACAAACAAATATCGTAATTTTATTTTTTTTCACATCTCTTTTGATATATCTACTCGATTACAATTTTATCTTGTAGAGTTTATATATACTTGATCTTAGTAGTAATCGACTTAAAGTGTCAAACGCACAATATTTGGCTAGAATGCTTGAAAATAATACGGTGATTATCTTTACTCCCTGTATATGCATATTAATTATATCCATTTTAATTTTTTTCATATAGACATTGATGACACTTAATTTGAGAGACAATGAATTGAGAAGCAAAGGTATCGAATATATAGCTTACGCATTGAAAAAAAATAAAGTTAGTTTTTCTATAGATTTTTTTCTAATATGTTTGTCTTCGTTTAGACACTTCGCATACTTAATCTTCGTTTCAATCATATTGATGACGACGGAGCAGAATATTTAGCTGATACATTGATAACTAACAGGGTGACTTTTCGGTTTCTTCTTATTTTTCTCAAAAGAATCTTTTCTCATAGACTCTAGCTACACTTAATCTTTGGAACAATGACATTACGGGTATAGGAGTACGTTCTCTGGCTAATGCATTACAAAAGAACACAGTAATTTACTATCTTCTTATTTTTTTACAAAGTCTCATCATATTTATTTTACTTTATAGGCACTTACCACACTAGATCTTGGACGAAATCGAATTGGATCTGATGGAACAAAATATTTGGCTAATATGTTACGAATAAATTCAGTATATATGCTAATCTTATCATCTCTCTTATATTAATTATCTTTATTTCTCCTACAGGTCCTCACAATACTTAATTTATGGAACAATCAAATCAAGGAAAAAGGAGCTAAATATTTAGCAAATGCATTAGAAATCAATAGAGTTATATTTATTTTTATTTCGCTTTATGTATCTCTTATGTTAACCTTTCTTCTTCATTTTTTTTTTCAGACACTTACTACTTTGGATATTGGATCTAATAATATTGCTGAAAATGGACAACAGAACTTAATCCATGCAATACAAATTAATAAAGTAATTTCCTTTCCTCTTCATAATTTTCATTTTATGGCTTTTTTTTCTTTCTTTTGCAGACACTAACAACACTTAATCTTAAAGCTACTCCTTTACTCAACAGCTAATACTATCTAATAATAAAGTATTCATGTAATGAAAAAAAATAAACTTGAAAAAATATTTTCTACTGAAAAATACCATTTTCGTTACATTCTAGAGGGTGTGAGTGATGAGTATGAATTTTTTATTCACCCCACGTCCTATATGATAAAGGTTTAGTAGTTAAACAAGAAATTTAAATCTATTTCTCTTTAAATTGTAACTTTTCGATGGCTATGAGTTTGTGTTATTTCGATTGTACATAATGAGATATACATCCATATGAATACTGTCATTAACTATCGTGACCTGTTTGATAAAATTACTAACTGAATTAGTTTATGAAATTTTATATTATTTTGCAAGACAAGATATATTTCTTTCTTTATACACAATATTAAATATTTATGAAAGAACATATATGAAGTTTGGTGTCTGCTCTTGATTATTTCTTTCGTTACGAGAAGAATTTAGTACTCTATTTATGAGTTATTAGAGATTTTACAATAAAAATAATAATTGAATGTTGTATCAACATTTCAGTTTTTGTGGGTTATGTTATAAACACTAAATAAACGAAAATTCAAGTCTTATTCGCGTTATTCCAAAGACAGCAAAACAATCGAGTTATTATCGTTCTTTGCTCTCAAATAGACGAATCGAGAAACATAATTTAAATAAAATATTCATTAATATATTTCAAGTGTAAGTTTAAAATTTGTTAACCATTTTAGACTCGTATCTCGCAAGAAAAAATAAAATACTATAAAATAAATAGATATTTTTCTATGTTGCTCTTTCTTTTTTTCAATATCATCAGGATATTCAATAATAATGCTCTAAAAAAATTAAGATATTTTCGTAGAAGTATTTTAAGAATCTTGAGGGGTGGGTTTGTGTCTGGATCTTTCTTCCTTTTATCCATACCCATACCCTCAATTGTATATATTTGACAAAAACAAAATACTGCTTCTAAAGAAAAGAACCGGAAAAAAACTCACAAAAACAGAACGACAAAAAAGAAAAAGAAAAAGAAAAAAAAAATGTTATTTACAATAATATTCTTACACATCGAAAAAAAAGCGAGAGCAATGTGATTGCTAGCAGTATATTTGTTATTTCAGTCTGCATCATTTAGTTAATATAGTATTAGTGTCATTGTTTATATTTTCATACTATGTTAAGCTTGTTCATTTAATGTTCGAATTAATCATGAATTACTTTCTTTAACAATCAGCATAATACCAACCAGAATAATAACAAGTACCACTACCCATATAATTAGAAGGGCCAGTACCAGCGCAATTAGGACAATAAAAACTACCAGTTGAAGTGGTAACACTATTATTAAAATTGCATTGGCAGGCAACATTATTGTAAACACAAGGGGTAGGAGTAGGAGTAAAGTTGCAACAATAATCTAGAGCACATGTAGAATTATATATAAACGATTTAGTTGTTGATGTTGTTGTTGTTGTCGTGGTAGTTGTTGATGTTGATGTTGTTGTTGTTGTTGTTGTCGTTGTTGTTGTTGTTGTTGTTGTTGTTGTAGTAGTAGTAGTTGTTGTAGTAGTAGTTGTTGTTGTTGTTGTTGTTGTGGTAGTTGTTGTTGTAGTAGTAGTAGTTGTTGTTGTTGTTGTTGTTGTTGTTGAAGTTGTTATTGTTGATGTTGTCGTGGTTGTAGTTGTGGTAGTTGTTGATGTTGTTGTGGTAGTTGGTGTTGTGGTTGATGGTGTCGTTGTAGATGGTGTCGTTGTAGTTGTTGTTGTAGTTGTTGCTGCTGTTGTAGTTGTTGTTGTGGTTGTTGTTGTTGTGGAAGTTGTTGGTGGCATTGTCGATCCTATATGAATCAAGAAGATTGAATGAGATTTTCTTTATAATTCATTACTTCTCTATCCATTAACAATACATCTGCCTTTCAATACATTCGTACGAATTTCCTTATCTCTCTTCTTTTACAATATTTATTTATAATTATGTCTCTATTACGACAACTGAAATAAACCAGTTGACACACCATGAATTCAAAGCTAAAATATTTTCATATCTTGTTCATTGACTCAAGTAATATCATTCTCTGAAAGTGTTCGAGAAAAATTATATCTTTCACAAATACTCAAACTTATGAAACAGCTATCATTAGTAGTCAATCAAAAATATAGTAAAGTCGTTTACTGTTACACCTAATAAAATAACAAATAGATTCTTCCATAAACTTTATATCATACATGCTGTTTTCTATGAAACATCTAAACTAATATTATCGCACATTCTTATTTACATTCTTACATTCTAATCCTCAAGAATAACAATCTTAGAAAGTATCTCAAATCTGAATTTCACTCACCAATTGTGCACGTAACGCCACTCCATCCGTCAGCGCATGTGCATGTATCAGGAGCTGTACATGTACCACCATTTTGACAATTATTTGTACATGTAGCTGAAACAAACAAAAGAAATTATTCGAATCAATCAAACTGTGAATGCACATTACCGATTGTACACGTGTCACCACTCCATCCCGTGGTGCATGCACAAGTTGTGGGACCTGTGCATCCACCACCATTTTGACAAACAATTGAACACGGTTCTAAAAAGAATAAACATACATTTGTAAGTTGTATTTGTTCGAAAATCTAGATAAGTGATAAAAGAAACAGCCTACTTATCGACAACTATACCACCGGAACTACTTGCATTGTTTGGACTGCCACTGGGATTAGACTGGACGTGGCATAGCTGAACAGGTATAGTGCTTCCATCGTCCGCCGGGAGACTAACATCGGTTGTGTTACTGAATAGTTGATGCATAAGTTCAAAATAAGCAACTTGACAGGGCAAGTCTTGACACGCTAAGCTTGATGGATAATTCAATGAGATGTCGAAGACGATGGCAACTCCTGCACGGTCCGTTTTATCGCATTGAACGCTAAATGTGAAGTCATAGGTGAGTATGGTTGACAGAAATATATTAAAAATAAGAATTACTCGCGACGACGTCGACTTTTGGCGCCGGTTGTATGTCCGCTGCTGATGTTGTTGACGCCAATGGACCCGTTGGGAGCAGCGGTTGTATATTCACTGCTGATGCTGTTGACGCCATTGGATCCGCTGGGAGCACTGGTTGCAACGGCACTGCTGATGAAGTTAACGAAGATGGAGCCAAAGAAAAAACCCATTGCTTGTTCCAACTAAAATATAATACATAGTATGAATTAACATCAAAAATAAAAATTACGCAAGAGGCAGTTGCCTGACGGTTGGTAACCGATTGCGTTGCGCGTTTTCTCGAAAATCCAGATGGCAACATGTAAGACGTAGTCAATGAAGTAAGTGAGTTTTCTAGTAAAGACTATCTATGTGAATAAAAGAAAAACAATGAAAGAAAACTAACTAGCGGCCGTTAATGTTTGCGTGGCAGTGCTGTCCCCAATACTGCTGGTGATATTGGTAATGTTTTTAATGTTGTTGATGTTAAAATCACTTGTTGATATATAAAGTGGAATCAGTGAAAGAACAATTGTGCACGCGATAGCAAATAGTGCCAGTGCAAAAAGACCAAATACAGAAAATCTAAATAATCATTAAAAGATGAAAAAATTCATCGGATACAATCAAAACTCACATTCGAGAACCTGTTGAGTTTATATAAGCCATAGCTTTCAGTCGATTGAAAGTGTTGTTCTGAAATCAAAAGAAATTTTAAATAAATTCCCATATGAAAATTGAGTGATGAAGAGAAGTCAGCTCGATAGTTTCTAATTGTAAACAAAACCCTAGCTCACAACTGTCAACATTCTACTCCGAACTGTGCACAAAGGGACCTTTCACTATAAAAAAAAATAGATCGACGATGTTCAAGAAAAGTCACTAAACAGTTACAAGTTAAGATTCGCTGGTCACCTAAATATATGATGGAAAAGTTAGTTGAGTGGCACCTGATTTGTTTTCAAATAAACAGAATTTGTCGAAAACAATCAGTGTATATCATTACAAAATCAGCAGACGAAGCATTAGTTTAGCCAAGAGTGCTGTATGATATCTCACGAGCCAAACAGACGCAGAGTAATAATCAGTTGTGGGTACTATTTGATATAGTTTGGGTGTTTTGTATAAGGTCTGCGTATGAGTTTGTATGATAGGGTGAGAATGAAGTAGGAAATCTAAAAACGATGATTCGCTTTTGATATACTTAAAAAATATATTAGATACCGTCATTAGATAAATCTGTTCGTTCAGGGAAATCTCAATAGCTATTCATATAATTATAGTACTTATAAATAGAGCAATAATTCTCGATATAAATGATATCAGTTGTATGGTATCAAGTGAATAGAAATATTATAGAAGTATTTACCTTGAAAAAATATTCAACGACGATAGAAATCGAAGATGAATAATCGAATATATGTGTTGGAAAAATAAATGAAAAAACAAATAACTAACGAATATTGAAAAGAGCATAGGCTTTTATATTTTTTTTTTCATGTACGATTTATTCATGCATAAAATATCCTTTGTAATGCGATGATTGTGTTATTTACGTCATGTACAAAAACAAGCAAGCAACAAAATAGAAGCGATAGTGCATATCTTTGTTTTTTCTCTTTTGTATGTAACGCATATTGCTTATATCCTCTATAGTTAGGTAATTGAAATATGAGTAATTGATTTGTTCTGTGAAATTAACGAAATAGACGGCGACGATTGTATCTTGAGGGTGATTGTATTTGAACGATGATTGTTTACTATCTTTTGAGCAACTATAATATGTTACCATTATAAAAATCCTCAACATGATTATTTTCTGATAGATAAAAGCGAACATTTTTGAACTATTTTAATATAAATAGAAAGCAATAGTTGTCTCATATAGCACTTGAACGACTATAATTCCCAGTTTTAAAAACTATTTTATATAAAACATAAATTGTTTTGATTAAAATTTTGTCTTGGTTTAGTACTATATCGGATGAGCTGTTTGTTAAATGTTAAAATTTAAAAAATATCTGAGCTGGATTCTGTTTTTTTGAAACAGTCGAAGCCGATTGTTTCCTTAACGTAGTTTTCGATTCGAGCATACAGTCAAAGTAGAATTATAGTTGACCGAAATCAACTTGAATAAAAAACAAAAGTTCATTGGTAGTGTAGAATCATTTAACTTTTTCAGTATTTTATCAATGAAGAAATGTATGTTTTTGTTTTGATTCAACATATACATCGATACATTTATTTCACATCATGTAATGTATTTACGTTCGCAAAATTATGTATATTATTGATGTAATGCAATTGCAGTGCGCAAACAGTGATAAAAATCATACAAAAAGAATATAAAACTAATGAAGCATGAATGGAAGCGAACAAAACAAAACATAAAAAAATATTTTTAATGACCACCTGTGCTGCACATTCTACTATCCGTTTGAAAAAAAAGAATGCTCGTGATTGATTATTTTAGAATTTCTCAATAGGATATTTTTGTATATACTAACTATAATTCTTGTCTTATATAACCATTAATAATAATGATAATAAATATTAATTCAAAGATTTCAAAATAATTCTACAATTATATTTATAATTATCATTATCATATCTATTTTTATTAATGAAAATATGTTATATACCCAAAAGTAAAAAGATTTTTATTGATGGAATTTATTCGAATATTTAATGGTAAAATAAATAGAAATGGAGTTAGTAAAATTATTAATTTAAAAAAAACGTAAGAGAAATAGTTTCAATAATGGTCATTGCTGTACTCATAAATTTTGTCTTATTGAAAATAATCTAGAAGAAATTATTGTAAAATAATTACTTCAATGAGCAGTAAAAAATTAATTGTTACACATGTTTTTATATAACAATAATATTAATATGGTTCATAAAAACAAATAGATAATTTTAAAATGATTTTCTCTGTAGTAATACATATATAGATATGCAAGTGTCTTTGTTAATTATCTATTTTGTTTTTCTAACATATAGATGAAATTAGGTCTGAATCGAACTATATTTAATTTTATAAAAAACTTCAGTCATCATATTTTGATAGAAGTGAAGTATTTTAATGCAGTAGACAAATGAAGAAAAAGTGCGAAAAATATTAAGACAACATTTTATTTTACAATATATGTTTACAAGATTCATTAATTAAATCTGATAGTCTAAAAAATATCAAAAATTAAATCTAAACTATTTATTAGTTTTTTATTATTATCTTATCATAAAAAATAATATCTATACTTCACATATACATGATATCATCAGAGGCATATGATCATTATTATTATCTACACTATCTTTTCATCACAAAATGTGAACACCAAGTGCATTTTTTTTTGAATTAAATAAATAGAGAAAAGAATCTTAAGCCAAAATATCTGATTTACTAGCAAGATATTGATCATTATTGTTAACAATATGATTGTTCGAGATAGTGAAAATTTTCAAAAATATATCATAGTTGAATCTATGAGACAAATCAGAGACCGGCGGGATGCGATATCAATACTGTACCGTACCGTACCGTACCGTCTCGGGACGAGACGGTATTGAAAAAACAAGAAGTAGGGCGGGACGGGACGGGACGGTATCGATAAGCCGCGGTACGAGACGGTATGCGGTACCAGATAGCTATACCGCTCTCCCGTGTCGTAGCAAAAAGTCTTTTGGCAATGTTTTTCAGAGACCATCTATTGTATATTTTTTATTTGTATTTAAATATTGTTTATATATCAGCTTGTACGCGTAACGTGTCACCTCAAAAGTGGAAATTTTTAGCCATAATTTTGAGAGTTTTCCATCACCACCATCCGAATCACATCTCGAAATGTATCAAAAACTTTTGATTTTCGTTAGCACATATGATTAATTATATCTTTCATCTTTTTACACATTTCTCGAGTCCGTAATAAAGAATTATATGGAATATCCATCTAGATCATGTCATTGCCACATCTCACGGGTCGAATTAGTACAAAATAAATGTAAAGCAGCTTCGACTGACGGAGAACATGCTAGTAAATATCTTACTATATGAAGCAAAGTATTAAAATGAAATCTCGTTTCCCGCATTTTTATTTATGATAACAACAAAATACAAGATTTAGCTGCGTCAGCGCGTTATATTCATGCAAGCGGTCTTCCATATAGATAAAACATATATTTTGAAATTTTTTCTCTCGATTGAATACCTCAAAGTGTTAGCTAAAAACCTTAGTGAAACGTAGTTATTAATATAGAATATATTGGACGAATAAAGAAGAATAATCATCTCGCTCTCAATTTTATGGTCCTTTTTCGCCATCGCGTTATGCTCGGTATTCTTTATCTGATATTCTTACAACTCATCCAAACAATTTCACATTTTCTGACTTTGTCAGGAAGATAGATGTCTATCTTCCAACGAAATAGTGAATTTTTTAGCTCATATATATGAAAGCAGAATAACTGATAAGAATGTGGGCAAAAAGTCATCGCGTCACGCTTGTACAAGCTGATCTATCAAATTGTTTTTATTGATGTGCTCGTAATTTGTATTTGTTGTCGAGATTCTTCAAGAATGTAATTTATATATGAAATACAACAGATAATAGTCGGTTTAAAAACAAGCTAAAAAAATTGTTCTAACGGTACGGTATTTCGCGAGACGGTATACTATAAACTTCATACGGTAACGGTACGGTACAGTATTGAAAGAAAATTAAGCGGTACGGTACGGTACGGTAGAGTACTGACGAAAGCGGTACACGGTACCAGACGGTATCAAATTTTTGCAATACCGCCGGTCTCTGAGACAAATAACA